AATTTTAAATAATTGAAATGCATTTCTTTCTAACATTCAGTTTACGTACGTTTTTTGGTAGCCTCTCAAAGTTTTAAACCTCAAATATTGGAGACCATAATAGAGGCAGCCAAGGACACGTTTAGGGAACACGTTTGAACCCGTAATGATGGACATTTACAGGTGTAGGTCCAGTATAGAGCTTCTTGTAAACAGTTTAGAACCAAGGGACCGAACTTGATTTGAGGACCAGAAGAGAGGCTTTACATACGTTTAGCCCGTATCTTAGGTGTAGTACCATTAAACAATACAGATTTTCTGTATGGGGCAAAACAGTACTTTGTTTCAATTTTATAAATCTACAGTATTTCCACTTCAAAGCTAGGAATGTCTGAATCATGATTTTGTTGGATTTGTGTCCCAAGAATAACATATTTTGGATTAATTTTTAATTATTTGTTTTAAATAAAGATAAAATGTCACATTGTGTAATGTTCTATATTTTAACAATTATAGGAGAAGAATGACAAGAAAAAAATAACTACACGTTTAATCTTCTTTTTCACTATTCGAAATTTCCAGTTGCCCCATGTCAGCTCCTCTCAGTACAGCTACCAGGAAAACTTGCTGACCTTAAAGGCCGTGAAGACTTGGTACAGCAAATACAGCAGCACATTGCAGGTGAAACCCGACTTGTTCTTCTAACTGGGATGGGTGGCATTGGGAAGACATCAGTGGCTATCGAGGTCGGGCATCGAGAACAAAATGTACTGTATTTTGATATGAGACAAGTTACCAACCTTGAATCTGTGAAGTTATCTCTAGTCCAGCACTACCACCCAACACGATCCCTGAAAGATTTATACGGTGACTATCAGAATATACTCATTCAAACTTTGTCTAGTTTAACTTCTGACACTGTTATCATTTTTGATAACAACGATGAGATTATTAAGTCAAATTTGCAGGACTTTCACAGCTTGTTTCAGAATTTTTTAAATTCATCAAAGCATATCACTTTGTTGTGTACCAGTCGTGAAGCATTCAGTGTCATGTCGCATAATATGGCTGTCCTAGACGTACCTCCCCTTGAAAATGCACCCTCCATTGATATCCTTTTGGAAGGAAAACCAACTAGTCCCAATTATAGCGAGTCATTAATGTTAGGTGAAATAGCAGAGAAGTGTGGAAGGAACCCCCTTGCACTCAAATTATTAGCAGTTCAACTCAAGAAAAAAACTGCGCAGAGAGTATTAGATAGGATGAAAAACAAAAATGTAATCGCAAGCCTTAAGGTTGCAAATCTTCCAGCCTCTCAAGAAATGATGGCATGCCTGGATATGTCTTATGAGGCACTGAATAGTGAAGAACAGAAATTGTTTAGAGCTTTACATATATTTCCAGTTTCATTTCTCGTGGGAGAAGTTTCAGAAATGTTTTCAGAAATTTTGGAAATAGATGAGGATGAATGTGAATCTATCCTTGACAGTCTTTGCAACAAATCTCTCCTAAGTGCAGACCACAGTGTGTATGATCTCCATCCCTTATTAAAAGCTTATGCAGCGTTTCAATCAAGAAAAGATCAAAATGAAATATCTTGCATACAGGATGCATACCGTAAGCATTACATGAAACAGGTCCCTCATTTGATATTCAAATCAAAATATTTCCCTTCAAAAGAATTGCACAAAAAAGCACAAAATGCACTGCCACATTTTAAAGTTATCGCTGATTTGCTGTTACATCAACTAAGGACCAACAAACAAGACAAAGAAATGCAGTTTCTGTATACAAATCTAATTTCAATTGCACGTGTGTTTCAATTGTTTTTCTTATACCCTGAAGCCTTAACGATACTTAAAACATTAGAAATGGTAAAAGAAAACATGTTCAGATTTGCACAAATTGGAACTTTTTTTTATGTCATAGTCGGTGATGTACTGTATGGAATGGGTAAGTACAAAGAGGCACTTACATATTATAAAAAATCTCTTGAAATACAGAGAGAAAACTTTGGTGAGAAACACCCTGATACATCCTGGACATACCATAAAATTGGCATTGCACTATGTGACATGGGTAAGTACGTTGAGGCACTTTCATATTATGAGAACTCTCTAGAAATCAAGAAAGAAATCTTTGGTGAGAAACACCCTGATACTGCTACGACATACCATGGTATTGGCAGTGCACTATGTGAAATGGGTAAGTACGTTGAGGCACTTAAATATTATGAGAAATCTTTTGAAATCCAGAAAGAAATACTTGGTGAGAAACACATTCATACTGTTCTTACACGCAGGGATATTGGCAATTTACTTGGCTGCATGGGTAAGTACGCAGAGTCACTTAATTATTATGAGACATCTCTTGAAATACAGAAGGAAATACTTGGTGAGAAACACCCTCGTACTGCTGGGACATACCATAACATTGGCACTGCACTTTGTGACATGGGTAAGTACACAGAAGCCCTTACATATTATGATAAATATCTTGAATTCCAGAAAGAAACACTTGGTGAGCAACACCCTGATACTGGTACAGCATACTTTAGTGTTGGCAATGCATTAAGTCAAATGGGTAAGTACGCTGCGGCCCTTACATATTACGAGAAATCTCTTGAAATTCAGAAAGAAACACTTGGTGAGAAGCACCCTGATACTGCTGGGACATACCATAACATTGGCAATGCCCTAAATGGCATGTGTAAGTCCATGGAAGCACTTACATATTATGAAAAATCTCTTGCAATCCAGAAAGAAATATTTGGTGAGAAACACCCTGATACTGGTAGGACATACCATAGTATTGGCAGAGCACTATATGACATGCGTAAGTACGCAGAGGCACTTACATATTTTGAGAAATCTCTTGAAATCAGGAAATTAATATATGGTGAGCAACACCCTAGTACTGCTACGACATACAATAGTATTGGCATTGCATTTCTTGGCTTGGGTAAGTACGCTGAGGCATTTGCATATTATGAGAAATCTCTTGAAATCAACGAAGAAATACCTGGTGAGAAATACACTGATTATTCTATGGTATACAGAAATATTGACAATGCACTATGCTGTATGGGTAAGTACAAAGAAGCATTAAAATATTACGAGAAATCTCTTGAAAAACAGAAAGATGCACTTGGTGGGAAACACCCTGATACTGCTTGGACATACCAGAATATCGGCAATGCACTATGTGACATGGGTAAGTACGCAGAGGGACTGACATATTATGAGGAATCTCTTAAAATCACGAAAGAACTGCTTGGTGAGATACACCCTGATACTGGTTTGACATACCAAAGTATTGGCAGTGCTCTTTATCAGATGGATAAGTATGCTGAGGCATTATCATATTATGAGAAATCCCGTGAAGTTTTCGTAGAGCATTTTGGTATCATGGATTCTAAAACCAGGAGTCTTGATAGTTTAGTACGTGATGTAAAAATACACATTTTGAAAAAAGTAATCATGAATATAATCAAATACATTGCCACTGAATTGATTGTCAAAGGGAAATATGGTCAGGCCGGTCGATTCTTAAGTTTTATTGGTTGGGATTTTAATCTCTATTACAAATTTTAGAAATATATGGAAGGTCCAACCTTTGTTTTCAAGCGAATGGTGGCAATAATGTGTATCACTGCTGGAATATTCACCATAAAATGAGAGATGATATGATAGATGATGGATTATTTAAATCAATGTTTGCCATGTTTGAATCAAATTTGAATCAATTGTCCAACGTTTTGAGCCTTGTCATCACGCTAACCCTTATTTGTATGTTTCTAACACTTTCAGACATCTTATCTGAACATAAATTGTGTCAAAATCTTGTACCTTAGGTCTTCGTCGCTGTATCACTGGTCAGTCAGGTTTGCACCAATCACCATGCGTTCTGTCTGGAAATAACCACTTACGTCCACTTAAACAATAACACTGAGCCAATTGCAACGGACAAAACAAAGACTTTTGTTTTTCTATTCTGGCCCGTACAGTATATATCATGTGGTGTCTTCCAAAGACATGTCGTAAATTACCAGTGAAAACCCGCATTGCATCCACATATCTATATCGCGTGACATCTCCCTAAGACTTGCCTGGATTTCCAGTCTGTATACAGGCGTACTGACCTACCTTAACTTTCACATATACAGGGCAAAATCACAGTTTCACATTCATCCTCAATTGTGCTGGGGGATTCCTTTTTTTTTTTTTTTTTTTTAAGATACTAAATGTAAACACATTAAGAACAATGTTTGTTTTTATGGTTGGAAGATTATCAAGTGTGTTGAAATAGTTAACGGAGAAGTAGCAGCCAAGTTCTTATATGTCAGACAAAGCAGATAATAAGTACACGTTTCAAATTTCAGGTCATTGTTAGAAATAGTAAACACACGTGTTAAAAATTTGGTAAATCTACAATCACCGAGACATAATTTATCCAGACCTAGCTAGGTCTCATGTGTTAAAAAGTTATATAAGGGGGCGTTAAATAAATGCTGACGGCATTCTTTGGAAGAAGTATAGGTTATCGTTAAAATAGATCTGTACGTTTCTGAAATGACATACTGTAATGTTTTTTTTTTAATCTCCACGTCGCTAGCAGATACATATTATTGGCCCTTAGAATTTCTCTCCTCCTTCCAAGGCAAAATATCGGACTCAAGATCAGTCCTTTACAAAATGGGGAGAAATAACCGACCCACATCCAAAGCACTGTTAAATTCCCAGAATTTTTGCAAATCGATATATTCACTTCAATGATGACATCATGGGTCTACTACCTGCTACTATCCTGAATCTGCCAGCGCACGTTGTTTTATATCCCATTGATCTTATCAAGTTATAAGGTTGAACAGTTTTATTTAGTGTATGTTTTTATAACCATGCTGCTTTTCGTTTGTCAATAGCTTTAAAATGATTAACTTAATATATCAACCAATATTTTATCTGCTTGCTGCTAAATTAAGTTAATTTTTCTGTACCTATTGACAAATTAAATTATATTTGTTTATTAAATTTTTAATGTTATCTAACATTACTCATTCTGATAAATACCCCTTATCAGGCATAATTCCACTGCCGATTTGCTTTGTTCACTTGTGTTATTGTAATGTCAGATGTGTGATGAATATTAAGTATATAGAGTCAAAGTCGGGATGCTGATTTAGATGTTTTTTCATACTTTGTACTTAGACAGGGTGAGACAGTGGTCATACATGTAGTAACACTGTAACTCGGTGAAAACCGTTTGAAATTACTTGTATATACTTTTTAAAAGTTATTACTATATCTGTACACAAAATGGATGCTAAGGTGTTGTGTGAGCAAACATGACGAGAAAACTGTATGTAATCATTGTTGTTGATATTTGCAGATGATTAATGCACTGATAAATGTACCCTAGTGTTACAATCTATATAGTAATGGCAGATCAGTCGAAGTCTCCTTTTCACGTTATTCTCCCAAACTACATAGGAAAGTGGGAAGATTGAGTCCGTAGTTTGAATTTGATTATAACTGTTAAAAGTATATTTTGAAGGCATTTTTTAGCCTTCGGCAGTTTCCGTAAAGCTTCGGCATGTGTGACAGGTATCATATACTGTCAATAACCAGGGGCGGATTGAGGGTTATTTTCTGACAGTCTTTCAATTTATCTTTGTTGATCCATCTTCCACTTTTGACAGTCTTACGACAGAAAAAATAGATACCCGTCAGTGTAAACTTAATAACCCAGTCCGCCCATGATAGCACTATTTAAGATATCAGGATTTGATGGGCCAGTGGAAACGTCTGTGGTTGCCAAACACGGCGGAATGAGTTCGATTTCCACTCTTTTTTAATCATTGTTATGGTTCAGTGATTAATATGACGGGTATCAATTAGTGTAGTTCTTAACTATGATAAAGTATACTATGATGTGATATTACATGACATCATATATAAATTGTGTACTAGTACATATATATTACAAATGTAAACGAAGTAAACTTCATATTATTGTTGACAGGTGTGTCACTTTTGTCAATTAAATATTATTATTTCTCCTGCGGTTTTATGTTGTTTGGAAGTTCTAAGATTAAGAAAATAACGTGCTAGCACAAAAGCCACACATAAAAGTCACACTTAATTATTTTTCGAACTAAGATTAAATTAAAGTCATTCAGTCTCTGAAATGTTTCACCTTTTAAAGTTCTTACAGAACTGGTCAACAGCCAACACAACATCGTGTAATAAACTGAATATTGGAGTGTGTTAATTAAAACTTGTAGATGAATTGATAAAACTACGCATTTTTATTTCGTTTAGTGATGAAATTGATTTAAATGGGGTGCTGTAAAAATACACACATACGTAAACGCTTTTATCAAGTAATGGCAACACACCCTTTGCACCCCATATTGATCGTAAATTTACCCTGTTTTAATTAACAAGCACGTAGGCTTCCCATGTGTCTTTGATGGGTACATGTATATATATATATATATATATATATATATATATATATATATATATATATATATATATATATATATTATTCCACATTGTGTATATACTTGGTGTTTGTTGTTGACGTGAGACCCGCAACAGAGGACGACTTTTCCACCAGTTTTAAAGTCTTATCGCAACTCTCAGCTGTTTATGAATAAACTCCCAAATATTTCCTGATCGCATACAGCTGATAACTACCTTCAATTGATGTACCTACTTAATTTTAAGCTCACATAACATTAAAGATAAGAGCCTGTCAACTAAATTGACTGAGGTCACTGACAAATGACTAGGGTAATGTACGTCAGTGCGCCCTATGTATGCAGACTGAGTTAACATGTTATAAGATACGAAATGGAGGTTAGATTTTCAATTTGGGGAAAAGGGTTTATCTGGTGAGGTTCAGCTCAATCAAGAAACAATTTGATGAATCTAGGGGTAACCACTGAAAAAAATAAGTTGAGATATAAACTTCGATTGCTACTAGAAATATACCAACATTTTCATTTATGTATACTATTCACGCCAATAGATTTGGATAAAGACTGATTAGAAAGTGTGACCGAGCATCGCAAACACAATTGTGTTCCGCTGGCGGAGACTGCATTGGGACCGAGTTCCGCAAACACAATTGTGTTCCACTGGCGGAGGTTATATCTAAAAGCAAAGAAAAAAATAATAAAGACACTCGCTGAAAAAGGGTGAACTATCTTGGATAGGCTGCATATGACACTCAAGTGGAAATAGACGCAAAGGTGAGACTTAGCGACAAAATTGTAGAACGGAATTATAACCAAGCTAGGCAATAACATATAGCACTTGATCACCGGGTCACGTGGGGTGTGCATGCACTGACTGTTACTGGCACATCTTTGTTGGAAACACAACAAGCGAGACGATTCTGATGCTGGGCCACCCTGGCAGGTTTATTAAATCAATAACGACAAATTAAAAAGTTTAAATTTTGGTGATATGTGACTTGAACCATAACTAGATGTAGCTAGCTTTTATACCTTGAAATACCGACTGTTATACACTCTGCACAATACACAAATAATAATTACTATGAAAAGATATGTATGTCAATTATTTCAGGAGAAGAAGCAGTGAAGAAAGCCCCACTCGTGGCTCGAATGCGTCTTTCAGAAAGCAACAGTGTCAATCATGAGCAAGGTAAGGTTGTGTGCTGAACTCTAGCCTTGGCGTTGTTAATAAGCAAGTCTCGTAAAATTAAAATTATATGTTACCGGTGACAGAAATGAAGATTATTTATCCAAACTCTTGCGTTTAGTCACTACAATAAAACAGCGTTTTATTTCTAGTACACAACTCATATGATTCACCTTTTTCCACGTGTTTATAAGTGGGAAATTGTGGTTTTACATTTATACATTGACAGTAATGTTGAACATAAATGACCTTGATATCAAGCGTTCAGTTGTGTGTGTGTGTGTGTGTGTGTGTGTGTGTGTGTGTGTGATTGTGTTTCCAAGAAATTAGTGTAAATGGTATAAAAGTATTATTTAATGCCTATAAAGTGTGATTATCTCGCATTTGCCAACCAGGTAGGACAGAAGAAAAAGAAAAAGGGCTGCCCCACAATCAGTCACTAGAAACTGCTTCTGCTCAAACATCAAGTACGTACTGATCTGGTATTGATCGTGGTCACTGACATTGGAATGTTTTAACTACCTTTATTATATGTTGGTAAAAAATGCACCATTAATAACTGAACAGAGTATAGGGGTTTACAAGAGTATTGCACCCGTTTGCTATAAGGTGAACAACAGCTGGATTTGTAAGGTTTTTCCAATAGTTTCTTTATGAAAACTTGTAATGTCAAGTTAGTATCTTCACGACCGGTTAACAGACCAGTGCTCATTTATTATGTTAGTACTAATATTTTGTAGGATGGCCACGTGATCTCAATATTGGTGATAAATCCTGTAGCATGGAGCCTTCTTTAAACGTTTATTTTGCTTAAAGATGCATACGAAGTCAATTTTTGCCACAAAAGCCGACCAGATGCCATTATATAGTTTAAAATAGTAAATTTAGAGAAATACCAAAAGACATTGTTTAATATTACCCAAAATGATATTTGAACGGATTTTCCTGTTAGCTTTCTATGCTGTATATCTATGGGGCAGATAAGTAGGTCAGGTAAGTAGGTTAAATCTACAACCAAAAGTTTAAAGAAAGGAGCTTTTTTATGGTTTATAGAGCGTTTTATTTGGTTCATCCCTTGGTATGTCGAATTTAGTTAGAAGTGGTTTATGTGCATTACTTGAAATCCACGCTCCACAGACACTGGGTTTATATGCACCTTTAACTCAACCACCGTAAAGCTATTTCACAGCACGGTTCAAATTTCCTGAGCCTTGGCAGCATAAAAAGACGCCTGTCGTCTCTGGCAGTAGTCTGCTTCATGTTGTTTTATGGACATCACCAGTGTCCCCCATCCTTCTGCAAACCCTGTATACAAGTTAACCAAGCATACCACATATGGGATACAGCTAAAGCCTCCAATTTCAGGGAAACAATTTCTTTGATATTTTCATTTTTGAGTTTTTTTTCACCATGATAACAACTTGACATCTAGAAGGGCGTTAAACCTACGATGGCACCTCTTATTGTGCGCATGGATGAAAATCCATCCCTTGTTACGTGACCAATAAACCGCAAGGCACTTTTTACGAACGGGTCCCTCGTGCCCCATAGCTCCCTATTCATACAGGTGGTACAATAATTTTGTCGCCCCCACCCCCTGTAGATCGGGCATTTATGTACTCTGGTATGGTCCACTTAGTTTGATCTTTAATCTTAACAGTTCTTCCAGAATGCTATATGCAGTCAAGTAAAACTAGTTTTTTTGGTTCATGAATCACTTTTACCAAATTCTTAACACTTTACATATTCTTAACACTGCACATAATAACTCATTAACCTTCTCATTGGAGGATAATTTATAATTGTAGGCTCAAGCATGGAGGATATGACCGAGGTCAAAGTAAAACCTTGCTCAGTTGACCTCTTCCAGGAGAAGGCATTCGATCATAAAAATGTTAGTGGCCCCGTTTTATTCTGTTTTATTTTTATATGCAGGTGTATTTGTTACCGTATATAGCCTAATGTTCAACAATACAGTAGCTTTGTCATGAAAAAGACATTTATTACAACACCAACTGAATGTTTCACACTTTATCTTGTTGGTGCACCAAGAGAAGCATGTACTGAGGCAATAGCAGTGCAAGATTACACTTACAAGATTACAAGATTACAATTTAAAAATTGTCAACAACCCTTTTGAATATTGCAGGTCTACAAAAACTACAGAGAGTGGAGAGGGAGAGCTGTGATCATCAACAATGTCAGCTTTGACAATAACTATCACCCCGACAGAGAAGGCACAGAGATTGATGTTAAACGTCTGGAAAGTTTATTTCAGCAGCTACATTACCTGGTGTCCAGGCATGACAACATGACTGCTAGGGTTTGTAGATCGAATTTAAATGTTCACTTAGTCCGCCGCATATTTTACCCTTTAGATACAGTTGGTAATATATCAACTATAAAGTATGTGATGGTAACATATTAACTCTTTCTGTCATTAAGTATATGATAACTCGTGCATTTCCATATGTGATTATGGGTTAAGGATGTAAATATGTGAATAATTTATGCTTTAACTATGTTAAAAAATTTGCAAGACTCCGACCGTTGCCAATTCATTATGATGACAGAACTCTTCCCTCAGAGAATTACAAACGCTGATCTCGCTGATGAGATCAGAAAAATGAATTTCTCTTTGACAATATAATAGTATCAAAGTGTACTGTCATTAACCTATATTGACCAAACATTGCATTATACAGGGTATCAGTCAAATAGTCGAACGTGAGTCAAGAACTGATCACAGTGTTTACTCTTCCTTCATCATGGTGATCCTGAGTCATGGTGGAGAGAACACGGTGATAGGCACTGACGGTTATCATATAGGGTATGACCAAATGCTTGCACACTTTGAGGCCTCCAAGTGTCCTACGCTGAAAGGTTGCCCCAAGATGTTCTTCATATCTGCGTGTCAGAGTCCCTGTCGTAAGTGTCCATCTTCCACATGGGGCATTGGTGTGAACCACACTTTGTGAAACAAGTTTTAATTTCATGAGTAAAGAGTGAGAGGTTAAATTGATTCCCTGTTTTCTGCTTTGATGTTTAAAGCTATAAAGCTATAGTACTAGATAGTACTAGATGTACTTTGCCCTCTTATGCGAACGGAGGGCGTTTCTATTATTATTTTTACATATATAGTTGGTTGATACTGCTCTGTCAAAATATAGTTCGTTTGTGTATTTCATGCGATGTGTTGTTCAATTTTGGCCATTATAAAGTAAAAATATTTTTGTCAATTACAACTTGGGAATCGCTGCTTTATACTTCATTGACATGTCATTGTCTAACATTTAACAATTATCCTTTATTTCACAGAAGGTGAGGATGAAAGTGCGTCAGATGTAAAAACGAAACCCAAGCAAATGACAACAAAGCCACAAAATACTTCCTCAAATACCGAAGACCGCAAAATAGCAGAAAAGGCTGATATGATATTAGTTACTTCAACGACCACAGGTAAGATTGTGAAGTCTGCTTGTTCTTTTTCAGCGGTTTCCACTATTAATACTTTCTCTTGGTCGACAAGAATCCTTCACAAATAGCATATAAAATAATTTTAATTGGATAAGGCATAACAGTCAACCTTCTGTTAAAGCACCAACATCTTTGATATCCGGCCGTCAAACTTAGGTTTGCTGAATTGACGTTTCAGGTGACAAGTCTTGGCGATCTCCTACACATGGCACGTGGTTCATTCAGAGTCTGGTGAGAGAGCTCTCGGAAAGAGCATGTGACACCCATCTACTTGATATCTTGACACAGGTAATCACGCATTACAACAGTATATCATTTTATAAGAGTAGAGAATAAAGATTTATCTGTTGTTAATTTGTAAACAGGGTAATCAAAAATAAAAACAAAGGATGACCGCCGTCTCTATCAACATCACATCCGGGTGTATCGGAGATTTTAGGCAGTTTAGAATCAAAGATGTGCATGATGCAGGATGCAATCAGATTGCGTTTCAACACAGACGCAATCAGGCTTCCCATACATAGCTGTCTACCTGTCGAATCTGCAAGAACACCAGCGACGTTTGACTTAAATTTCTTGCACCAATAACAAAAGTTGGTCAGGTCTATTAAATAGCGGTATGCTTAACTGGATTGATCTAATTTGAGCGGTTCTAAATTTTAGAGATTTCTTTAAAATTACGACTCTTAAAAGGATATTTGTATTGTCTAGGGTATCATTGATTTGGTTCAAAATAAAGTCTTAATAATAAATGCTGAAACAACATGTATTCCGCTGAAATATGGCTGATGGCTAAACATGTTTAGGTAAATTTATGAGATGCATTGATAGGAGAATTAAACTTTTTTGTAGATTTGATATAAGAGAAAATGTGGTATATTCTTAGTTTCAAAAATGCTCAGCTTTTTTATTAATAGAGCAACTTTCTGAACCAATCAAATTGTTGATAATGAAAACAGTGAATATGTAAAATCGCGAATAAAATGTTTTTCTTTAAACTCAGAACATGCGTAACATTTCAGAAAGAACAAAAACCGAAAAAAAAAAAAACATTTTTGAATGGGAAATGGGGATTGTTCCTTTATATGTACATGTAGAAATCGAAAGAAAAATTTAAAAAAACATTAGTTAATGAAATGTTCCAACATGAAAGAGAAGATGGCACATCAATTTCTTGTTCTGTGCACTGGTTAAACAGAAAACAGAGCATGAATATAAACATAAGTAAGGTCTTCAAATAAATGAAACATTCTGGGGTATACATGTAAGTTATGAAAAAAATATAAGACAACTGGCAACATTATGATCATAACATTTATTTAAAGAGGGTTTTTACACAGAGCGTCATAAGCCTAAATGTGCTTTGCCAAGCATTGACACTAAATATCATGACAATATATATCATAAATGAATAAGTTTATATAGCTGTTCTGTTAGTGGCTATGTCGCACGGGAACTCTCTTACATTTCAGCCAGTCTATGAAAACTGTCAATATCTAAAAGTGTACCGGTCCAGGCAAGTGTACCGCTAGATCTGGAAAAGGTTTAAGTGACATGTCCTTGTAAGAAACCATAACAGCTAGACAGCTTTATACACGACTGTCATTGACGCGGTAAACTTACGTAAAGCTTTGCCCATAAGATTGTATATACCACTAGTAGACTCCTCTGATGTCTTTGTTCAGAGAGAGGACTCCTTGTGGAGAGAGAAATGATCATCTCGTGCGTGTTGAATATAAAGGGAAGGGAGTTTTTAATCTACCAGTAATCTGCCAATGTTTCTCAATTCACATATTGCCTCTAAAAGAGGGCAAAAATACAAATCTTAAAAATGTCATATTTTGAACAAATATATTGATTTTCATATACATGTTCTCCGTGTTGATATGTTACCTAGTAATTGTTTATCTTCAAGGTGAACGGGAGTGTGTCCCAGATGACAACTCAAGACGGCTGCCGACAGGTTTCAGAAATAACAAGATGCACGCTAACGAAGTACGTGTATTTCTGGCCAGGCTTCTACATAAAAGATGAAGAAATTAAGAAGTTTCCTGGGTGAACACAATGGATATGTATACAATCCTATCAGACAAGTTGCCCTCTTTCGCCAATTTGTCTTTTCATATTGAGACGCTTGACAAACCTAGATGATTAAATGCATGTTCATTTATTTTTACCTAATGTGACAGTATACATGTGAGAATACCATTCATTATATTGTTTTCAGATACGTAACTGCGTACTGTCACTCTTTCTCTTTTTGTAATAATTCCTTGTCAAGTATATTACATTTATACATGATATTGTATATATACAAGCTATGGAAAACGGCAGATTACTCTATATATAAAACATGAAAAACGTCTTGTCTTTTGATTTGGTAATTGATTTTCAATCACAAAACATTTCAAATCCAAGCCACCTTTTAACAGTTAAATAGGCTTATAATGTCATTTTTACAATATTACTAATACTTACTAGTGAATTGCGGTATAATATGTATACAAAATTAGTCTTTATAACAAGTAGACTTTTTTTACGAATTGCTTGTTTTCTTACCAACAGTTCTTGAACACGTGCACCCCTCTTGTTTGTAAACAAACCGCTGCACCCCTCACAGTCAGTAGCTCCCTCCGCCAGAGGGCTCGCACTGCTCGACACCTGTGCCTGGTCCTGAAAAAATAGGCAGTAGTTTACATCCTAGCCTGCTAGTTGACACCATTATAACCCTAGCAACTTACAAGAAATACAGTGAAAAATTGGGAAAAACACTATTTTTTCTCACGGCACTATACATTCGTCTATAACAGTCCGTGAATGCATGGTGACGTCTATTTGGTGGATTCTGCCCTACAAACGGGACTACACGGGGCCCTCACATGTTTAAAGAAAAGATGGAATAACGACTAATAATTGTAATACATATTTGCCATGTCCTTTGTTAAATTAATTCTCATAAGAACACGTGTTATTATTATAGTGCATTAAAATTTATGCGTGTTTCACGAACGAACAAGCTTTCTCAAGCCCATTAGTTGAACTTTATTTTCACCTCCTTTATCATTCAGTCTTCCAGGCTCATTAATGCAGTTCTGTGTTTAAATTTACCACAGTGCCAGCAGTCAAATGTTATCAGTGTAAAGTATGTACACGTAAGCTGCCGCAAGTGTATGTAAACTGTTATAAGTCCAAGAGGCTACGCGAGATCTAGTCAACAGCTTAATGTAGCCTGTGTATATTATTATTTTTTCTGTAAACAGAGGATAGTTGATAGATTAACATGCAGAAATTATATAAGAAAGTGCCTCATATAGTGTACTAACATAAGGAAGGGTACAGCATATATGTTCAATACCTGTTAAAATATTCATTGAGTAACGATTTTATTTTGTATATTTATTTAAACATTTTTTTCCTCCGTTATTGTTTCAGACCGAGTTTAAATATTGGTGGCTCAATAAAAGTTTAAAAAAAACAAGCAACGTGTTTGTCAAGATACGTGTTTCTTACATGTACATGTATCCAATAAACGCAGTCACCGTAAACAGAAATGTTTTCTAAATCCTGATTTTACGCTGTTAACGTCACATTTGCGTTGCTACCGCCAAATCTACACACGTTTTGTTGTTGGAAGGAGCATTTTAAAGGGCGAACCCAGCCACTGCTTGAGGTTCTTTCTACTGTCTTTCGACGCATTCCCAACCAAAATTGATCTGCACATCAAATATGGCCGACTTACTTGAAAAGTTAATTAGCGCGTAATCCCGAGTGAGTAATCTTTTTAGACCCCATTCACGAAGAGTAGATCGATTCAACTAGATCGACCTACCTCCCTGGCAGTTCACGATAAATAGCTGTTAGCCGAGCAGGCACGATAGTTAGTTACCCCCTTACAGCTTGTAGTAGGCGGGACGGACATTTAAGCCGGATTCTCTGACAGTAATCTAGTGAGACTCCCCACGGGGAGAGAACGATCTAAAATCTATGGGAATGCGCCCTTAGTGTCTATTAGGGGATTATTCCTCAAGTGGGTTGGCCATATTCGAGGAATAACTTGTTCTGAAGGCACCCTTTATAAATAAGTAAACCGGCATTTGACAGTTTTGAGTTCTTTGAAAACTCCCCCGCGGGGGTAGGGGTTTCTACCTCTACCCCCCCCCCCTCCCCACCGCCTAGCAACCCTACACTTTCTATATAAATAAAGTTTGCATGCCTGTAGACAGGTGGGGTCTGGGAATAAAAAAATCTTTTGGTCGGAAAAGATTAATTCTGAATCATTTTTTATTTTATTTTATTTTTTATTCGTGATCTATGCCATTTCTCAATTTGGGTCAGGTAAAGGGGTGAAAAAATCAAGTCTTTCAAAAAGAGAACCCCCCTTTAAAAATGGTAGCTTGATTCGGGAAATTTCTATTGAGGGTAATGCTAACGCAATGCTACTTGTCATATGTGTCCTGTTGTGGCGCATTTTCTCTCTGTTAAACACTGTTTCACTATTTCA